GGACAGCGACGAGCCAACTGGAGGGGCCGTAGTGCGCATGCGGGAGCGCGCCTACCCCTCCCCCACAACCCCCCATTAATCCCCAAGAGAACAAACACCCCACGCGGGCCCCCCCGCCCTCCGCGGAAGGATCTGCGCCTCTTCCTAGGCCACCGGTGGCCAATCCCAGCCTTCCCCGGGGAGGGGCCCCTTCCAAAGCCACAATCTGCTGGGGGAGCCAGGAATGCCAGGTCTGGGAGGGGCCAACCCCGAAAGATGAAAGTCGCGACTTGTCCTGCCCCGCCCCAAAGGCTCCCCGGGTAGTGTGCTGGGACTTGACCCGCCTCCCCAGGTCAACATGTCACAACACGACCTCGGCCTGTCAAGTCACATGACCTCTGCCTGTCACTGACAACCCGGTCCGTCTTTAGGCCCGGAGAGACCATCTGGTTCAACCCACCGCCACCCCCATTTACAGAAGGGGAAATGGAGGTCTGAAGCAGCCGAGCAGCCTGGCCAAGGACCTGTCGCCACCACACCACTCCAGTCACAACCGGCCTTGTGACAGTTTCTGCTTAAACTCTGACTGCCCCCATGAGGGTATGACAGGATATTAACAGGCCCCTACGTGGCCTCTGTCCTCATGACACAAAAAAATAATGTGCGTTTTGCAAATACGCAAAAATACTTTGCGTTTCACTTTTGTTCAAGTCGCCCCCAAATTCATAGTTCTCTCTCGCCCTTCATAACTCCTATGTTTAACTTACAAGCCAGAACGATATGATCCCGGGGCAAGAGGGGGAGCTGAGGCCGGATAACCGGGGCTCCTGACAGCCCAGCCCGGGGCAGTCTGCGCTGACGTGCACGCACACGTCCCAGGCGCCAAGGCTCTCCTGTAGGTCACGACCCCCAACACCCAGGAGGCCTGTGCCCAGCTCCGCCCACCAGGGAGCCGCAGGACTTGCTATCTGGTACAATCAAAAGGCAGGGTCTTGGTCTTGAAAGGCACGAGAGCATCCTGGGGGAAGTGGGGAAGCCGTGAGAACAGGGTCCCCCGAGCCAAAGACATGAATTCTGGCATGCAGAGTTTATCAGAAACTACAAGATCAAAGTCAAGGCCGCTGTGCTGACAGAAGCGGGAAGTGACTACCAAGGCGAATACTCCGCCCCTTTGGGGGCACTTAGGCAACAAGAGGAGACCCCAGTACCTCAGCTCCTTTGCTGGGGAGGGGCTTAGGAGGCTACAAGAGGAGACCCCAGGGCCTCGGTCCCTTTAGGGGGAATTAGGAGGCTAAAAGAGGAGCCCTATTTAAGAAGACTTCCGTCGACCGTTCCGCTGGATAGATGCGAACTTTCAAAGGAGAGAGGTTCAAAAGGCCTATGTATATAGCCCATGAGCTGGGAGGGGCCGAGGAAAGTGGAAGTCCCTTGTGGAGGGGGCAAACGGGAGCCAAGGCTAGGTGGGCAGAGCAGTATTTCCTGGGGGAGACAGGCTGCAGGGAGGCTCCACACGGCAACCCAGCAGGGGGCCAAGGTGGATAGCCGTTGGGGCCGTTGGGTGCCGGGAGCTGGCGCCCCGCCCTCTCTCTTCTCCGCCACCCCCCGCACCTCCCACCACTCTCGTTGTCCCCTGCGCGTGCGCGCGCAGGCACCGGTTGCCAAACATTGCATCATCCCCGCCCCCCTTTCCTCCCCTCCCCCGTCTGCACTCCCCTCCGCGCGCGCGCATGACTCACCCACCGCCTCCGCTGAGCCTCGTGACCCAAAGCCACTTCCGGGTCCAACGCGACGTCGACCCCCAGGCGGGAGGGAACGGTGGGGGCGTGCCGCGGGGCTCCTGAGTGGCGGATGTGAGGCATGGGGCGGGGCTAGCGCCGGCGTACCGCTTTCTGATTGGTAGGTGTCCGGATCCCACCCCGGAGAGGCGGGCCAGGCTCTGGTAAAAGATTACGGCTCTGGATTCCCGAGGTCAGAGGCTTGAGTCTGAGACGTAGAGTGTATCATGTTGAAGATGAGCGGGTGGCAGCGACAGAGCCAAAGTCAGAGCCGGAACCTGAGGAGAGAGGTAAGTACTGACGCCCCACCTGCCCCGCGCCCTCCCGTCTTCGCTAACGCCGCTTGTCTCCTCTAAGCTGGGACGTCCGCGCTCTAAGATTGGCCCCACCCCTACACTGTGAAGTTTGGGGCCGTCCGTGGGAGGGGTCAAGAGAATCCTTTCTCCCTGGGTGGTGTCTGAAGACCATTCTTCCTTCAGACGACAGCGTCGCTCCGTCCTTGCCCGAGGCATGGGCCCTACTCTGTGCTGCGGGGCGAAGGGACCCTGGCCGCCCTTGGGAAATCAATCCTCTCCCGGTGCCAACTTCAGGCCGCCTTGTTGGGCCTGTCCGGCGGGGGGTGGGGGGGCGGAGTAGCAGGACACACCCCCGCGCTAGGAAGACTTGGTGACCGTGGGTTAGGCCGCTTGGCCGCCAGCAGCATTCCCCCGCCCCACCCCCACCCCTGTCTCGGCCGCAGCGCCTCGGGGGTCAGCATGGCCACCTCGGCAGCTGGGACTCCTGGACCCTGCGGGGGATAGGAGAACCTTGAGGAGACTGGCACAAGCCCTTGGGAGGAGAGGTGCCGATGACCGGGGGCGGAGATGATTTTCCTACCCGTCCGCCCCTCCCCTCCCCCGAGGTCTGGGCCTCCCGCACAAGAGAGCAGCCTGGATCTCTTACGTCTGGGAAGCCATTTGGGGTCTCTCCAGTGTATTGTCCTTCCCCTGGGCTTGGTCCCTGCCTCTTTCCCCCCTTTTGTCTCCCGTCTAATCTCTGTAACCATTGCATCAGGCCAGCCCCCTGTTTGGCTCTGCAGCCCTCTGGCCTGTGGCCCCACTGCTGATGAAAGCCAAGTCCCACACTCTGAGGCAGGGAGGATTCCCCAGGGAGGACAGCCCTGCAGAGAAATACTCAGGGCGAGATTGCATCTCTGGTCTCCAGGGGTAGGCAGTTGCTGCTCTTCCTCCCTTTTCTATAAGAGGAGGGAATTTACCCAGTCATTCCTAACAAATACTTAATGAGCACCTACTATGTGCCAAGGAGTTTGCCGCCCAGGGTAGTCTGTGAACAAGGGGGAAATAAAGCATCTCAGCTTGAGGCATACAGTAAACAAAATAGGCGTGCCATGGAGAAAACCAAACATGGCTTGAAAACGTTCAGGGTGGAGGTTTCAGTTTTAAAAACATCAGGTGGTCAAGAATTACCTCACTGAGGTGACATTTTAACTGAAAGACCCAAAGGAGGTAAGGCAGTGGGTCATGCAGATGTGCCGAAGGAAGAAGGAATAGCCAGAGCAGAGGCTCTAAAACAGTATGTGCCTGGTATTTTTAGGGAACAAGCCAGTGCACTGGACTAGAATAAGCAAGAGGGAGAGTGGTAGATGAAAAATCGGTGGGGCAGGAAGTTACATAGGGCCTTGTAAGCCATTATTAAAGACAGGATCTCACTATGTTGCCCATGCTGGTCTCAAACTCCTGGACTCAAGCAATCCTCCTACCTTGGCCTCCCAGAGTGCTGGGATTACAGGTGTTAGGCACTGCACCTCACCAGTATTTAATTGCGTGAAATGAAACGGGAGTCATCAGACTGTTTAGAGCAGAGGAATGACGTTTTGAAAGGCTCACTATGGCTGCTGTATCATGAGTAGACTCATGGAAAGGTGACAAGAGAAACGGGGAGACCTGCACACAGGAGGCTTCTGCAGTAAATCAGGGAGAGGCGATGGAAAATTGATCTAAAACAATGGAACTGGCCGGGCTCAGTGGCTCAGCCTGTAATCCTGCGCTTTGGGAGGCTGAGGTGAGTGGATCGCCTGAGCCCACGGGTTCAAGACCCGCTCGGGCAACTTGGCGAGACCTCATCTCTACAATAAATCAAATTAGCCGGGTGTGATAGCGCGCGCCTGTAGTTCCAGCTACTTGGATTTATTTATTGGGTTTATCTTTGGACTCAATCTTTGGATATGTCTGTTGGACAGCCAAAAAGAAATGGCTGCTGGACATGGTGGCTCATGCCTGTAATGCCAGCACTTTGGGAGGCAGAGGCGGGAGGATGCCTGAGCCCAGGGGTTCGAGACTGGGCAACATAGCAAGACCATGTCTATAATAAATCAAGCATGGTGGTGCATGCCTGTAGTTCCAGCTACTTGAAGGGCTGAGGCGGAAGGATCGCCTGAGCCCAGCAGATCAAGGCTGGGGTAGCTGTGAGTGAGATGGAGCGAGACTCTAGCTCAAAAAAAGAAATGGCAAGTAGGCAGTAGGCAGCAGCACTGGAGGGTCCAGAGGAGGCCCAGACTGAAAGTGTGCTGGAAGAGGTCAGTGCAGGAATGGTGTCAGGACAGTGCCACTTGGTTTGTTCCCTTCCCTGTAGCTTGGTCCTTACCCTGGCAGGTTTGAGACCTGCCTTGAATTTAGAGAAAGCTCAGTTGGTCAGGACATTGCTATTATGTAATCAGGACTACAAATATCAGCAACTAAAAATAAAGGAAGTCAGCCTCTCTTCTCTCCTTGGAAATGGCTGCAGGGACTATACCCAACACGACCGAGGTAAGGACCGATAAAAGGCGAGGGATAAAAGGAAAAGAACATGCCCCTCCTCCTTCCAAAAATGACTAACATTTATCTCTGTTCATCGCAGTGTTCCAGAAGGAAGTGTATCTTCATACATCACCACACCTGAAAGCAGGTAAACCCTTTCCCGGAACTAAGTCCTAAGAGATGCTGCTTAGGCCCTCTGCTGGGACCCTAGGAGGGTCTGAATCAGAGCAAGTTTTTGCTGTCATACTCTGTCCTCCTGGCCTGGCCCTAACAAAGTGACCAAATTCCTGCTCTCAAAGAATGCCCTAATTGAAAGCTGATCCTCAGCAGCTTTTCTCACCCATGCCAACTCTGGCATGTCTCTCTTTCCTTCCTCTCCTTTTTCTCTAATAAATTTTGTTTTAAAACTTTAAAAAAGGCTGGACACAGCAGCTCAAGCCTGTAATCCCAGCACTTTGGGAGGCAAAGGCAAGAGGATTGCCTGAGCCCAGGGGTTTGAGACCAGCCTGGGCAACTTGGCGAGACCTCATCTCTACAATAAAAATTAAAAAAAATTAGCTGGACATGTTAGCACATGCCTATAGTTCCAGCTACTTGAAAGGCTGAGGTGGAAGGATCACCTGAGCCCAGCAGGTCAAGACTGGTGGCCATGAGTGTGCCACTGCACTCCAGCCTGGGCGACAGGGTGAGACTCCAAGTCAAAAAATTAAAAAAAAATAGCTAGTCCTCAAATCAAAAAAGTCAGCCCCAACACAATGACCTAAGACCCCATCAAGGTTTGGCTGACCTGAAGGACTGTTTGCCCAAGCTTCCCACAGGAGAAAGGAACACAAATGGCCTAATGATTGCCCCTGGAAACGACCAATAGAGTTCCCAAGTGGAGCTGAGGACTCTTACTAGGATTCCAGAAGAATGTGTATCCAGGCACTTTGCTTTTTCAAGTTCTGGGTACAAAACAAGGAAGGAATATTAGTATAGCCTAGGGGATGGTAAATTTTAAAGAGCAAGATAGTAAATATCTCAGATGTCGAGGGCCATATGTAGTCTCTGTCATGACTGTTCATCTCTGTCATTGTAGCATGAATGCTGCCATAAACAGTATGTAAATAAATAGATGTGGCTGTGTTCCAATAAAACTTTTATCTACAAAAGCAGGCAGCAGACCCATTTGCCAGCCTGTGGCATAGATTGTCGGAATGTGGGGCTTGTCCCACCCACTTCCCATTATCCCAAGTATGTACATTTTCCAGACCTGATCCAACTGCAGAGATGGCAGCTGAGTCATTGCCTTTCTCCTTCGGGACACTGTCCAGCTGGGAGCTGGAAGCCTGGTATGAGGACCTGCAAGAGGTCTTGTCCTCGGATGAAAATGGGGGTACCTATATATCACCTCCTGAAAATGAAGAGGTAAGAATGCTAGGCCTAAAGCTGGGGGTGGTGTGTGGATTGTCACCTTTCCCTTCTCAAGTAATACCCACCCTCCCTTTCCTCATGTCCTTGAAGGAAGAATCAAAAACCTTCACCACTCTTGACCCCGCCTCTCTGGCCTGGCTGACTGAGGAGCCAGGACCAGCAGAAGTCATAAGCACCTCCCACAGCCCGCACTCTCCAGATTCCAGTCGGAGCTCCCTGGCTCAGGAGGAAGAAGAGGAAGCCCAAAGAAGAAACAGGAAACGGAAACGGGGTGGTCACTCCCCAGCCCGGGTTGGGAAGCAGCGCATGAAGGAGAAAGAACAAGAGAACGAGAGGAGAGCGGCACAGCTAGCAGAGGAGAACGAACGGCTCAGGCAGGAGATCGAGCGCCTGACCAGGGAGGTAGAGGTGACTCGCCGAGCTCTGATCGACCGCATGGTCCATCTACACTAAGCATGAACAGTGGGACCATCACTCCCTAGCTCGGGGCACACTACCCACCTTTCCAGAAGTGACTACTGACCACCTTCTCACTAGTGCCAGTGAGGTGACCCTTTCCCCAATATAGTCGGGGGAAACTTGGTGTAGACAAAGTGTCTCAGCTTAGAGAGATTGCACATTTATTTATTACTGTCTATATCCATTAAAGTGACTTTCTATGAGCCACGTTCTCACTTTTTCTTCTTGCCTTTCGGGGTTTCCAGGGGTTTCCCCTCAGCTAGAGCCAAATGTTTCTTTAGATCCAAGAGTTTAGCCACCTCTGCAGCAATCTGGTTCTTGTCTGCCTTTTGTGCTTTCAGTTCTCGGACAATGTTGCCCTAAAAGAAGTGGGTGGGGAGAGGAAGAGTGAGACCAGAAAGGGCCTGTTTAGGATTCAGCCTTGCCAGTGTTCCACTAGGCATAGGTGTCATACTTGTTTCGTCACTGCATCCATCAGCGCTTGAATCTGCTGTGGCCTGGCTGTTGGAACAGCCTCTTCAGCTGCTGGCTTGGGGGCTGCTTTTGCCTGGAGAAGAACAGAGTAGTCACCAGCTACCATAAACATGCCCCAACCTCTAGTTAGAATATCTCAGGGGAAGGTGATTACCTTTAACTTGAAGGACTCTTCTAGCTAAGACAGGAAAAAAAAACTACAAGTGAGAAGCAGCAGGGCCGAAAGATGGGAAGAAGAGTGATGAGTGAGCACTACTAAGACAACTAGCGTGGTGCCGTGTGGTGGGTGAGGAGGGCACGGTCTAGTATTCTCACCTGGCCCCCTCCAAAGCGCTGTCTCAGATTTTCAATCTGGTCATTTTCCAATTTTTGGAACAATGGACTGACCTGTAAAAAGACACCAGAATCATTCACTGATTAGCTATGGACTATCCCAGACCATCCAGAGGACTTCTCCAACCCCAATCCCTGGTGTGCTTTAAAAGAAACATGAGCTTGACTGAGACTGTATCTGCTGACTTCATGAAAGGATTCAAAAAAACACTAGCACTCCCTACAAAAGCCCAAATAACTTAGGGTCAAAGATTATTTAAGCTATCTAACAATGCTAGGTCAATCGACAAGTTTATGTCAAAGAGGAAACGGCCACCCTGTATTCTCCCTGCCCACTGCTTGCTAGCACTCTAGAGACCATGTCATCAGGGCAAAAGCTGGGTATTGGTTTCTGTGCCAGGTACTGGGTTCTAGCATGAAAAACAATGAGGACCTACTGATAATACGGGACTTGTGACCCAATACCAAGAACTTTATATCACAAATATAAGAGCTTCATGCCCAAAGTAAAGCTGGAGAGATGTTAGGTCTTTAACCCCACCCCAGAAGATGCTTGGCAGAAATAGGAATTTTAAGAGGGTGGCTCTTCCAACCCTTGGAGACCTACGATGCCAATCCGGTGTCCTGCTGACAAGGTGCACAGGAAGTCTGTGGGCAGGATACTGCAGGCTGGAGGTGGGAGCTGCAGCTGGGCCTGGATGGTGGCGCTAACCATTGGCATGTAAGGCTGGAGCATGATGGACAGCAAGGCAGCTATGTTCACTGCCAAGCCTGTCACTGTGCCTGCCCGCTGCCTACAGAAGAAGAGGTGTGAGTCAAGACCTGAAGGAGGGCACGGTCTACCAGTCACTCCAGTCCAGTAACCAGAACCCCAGCACCTACCTGTCAGCCTCACTGCCTTTAATCTGCTTCCAGGGCTCATTCACCTGAATGTACTGATTGCCGTGCCGCGATATGGTGAGGATACTGCGCAAGGCATCTCGGATCCTGGGAAGGGAGGAGGCAGGGCACAGTGGAAGGTGGAAGCATAGGGTTCTCACCATGTCAGTAGGAGAGACAGAGGTGGGGTTACTTACCGAACCTTCTCGAGCAGCTGGTGATAGTGCCGGAGCTCCAGGGTGACATGGGCCACCAGGCGCTGGTCATCAGAGGTAAGCACCATCTCAGGCACACAGCCCCCAAAAAACTTGGAAACAAACATCCCAGCTCTTGATTGGAAGTATGGAAGGAGAAGAAAAAAGGGGAGTTATTACTCAGTCTCCTCATGGAAACTTGACCCAATTCCCACAGCTGATATTCTCTCAGGATTCCTGCCCAGAACTGACACCTCCTTGCTCCCTCAAGCTAGAAGGCAAAGGTTAATAAGTTAGCTAGGCCAGGCTCGGTGCCTCAGCCTGTAATCCCAGCACTTTGGGAGACCAAGGTGAGTGGATTGCCTGAGCCTGCGGGTTCAAGACCCGCCTAGGCAACTTGGCGAGACCTCATCTCTACAATAAATCAAAAATTAGCTGGGTGCAGTAGCATGCGCCTGTAGTTCCAGCTACTTGGAAGGCTGAGGTGGAAGGATCGCCGGAGCCCAGCAGTTCGAGGCTGCAGTGGCCGGGAGTGGCCACTGCACTCTAGTCTGGGCAACAGAGTGAGACTCCAACTAAAAAAATAATAATAATAATAAGTTAGCTAGGCTCTTGCTTTGCTAACCTCTGGTCTGACCATATGGCTTTGGCCCCCTCCCCTACCTTGGGGAGATGAAGCGCGCATCTCTCTCTCTCTCTCTCTCTCTCTCAAAAAAGTTAACTATTCTGTCTCTTCCTTAAGAATCCAATCCTGCACATAAAGAAGCTGATAAAGCCGGGCGCAGTGGCTCATGCCTATAATCCCAGCACTTTGGAAGGCCGAGGTGAGAGGATTGCCTGAGCCCATGGATTCAAGACCAGTCTGGGCAACTTGGTGAGACCTCATTTCTACAATAAATCAAAAAAACTTAGCTGTACTTGGTGGCATAGCTCTGTAGTTCTAGCTACTTGGAAAGCTGAGGTAGAAGGATCACCTGAGCCCAAGTAGGTTGAGGCTGTGGTGGCCGCGTGCGTGCCACTGCACTCCAGCCTGAGTAACAGAGTGAGACTCCAACTCCAAAAAAAAAGGAAAGAAGGAAATATCCTCCATGGCTCAGATTCCTCTATCCTGCTCTCAGAGCTCTGGGCCTTCAGCTCAGTCCTGCTACTCACTTTTAGCTTTGGTTGTTAGCCACATTTAATAGGCAGTCCTAGCCGGGCTCGGTGGCTCAGCCTGTAATCCTGCGCTTTGGGAGGCTGAGGTGAGTGGATTGCCTGAGCCTGCGGACTCGAGACCGGCCTGGGCAACTTGGCGAGACCTCATCTCTACAATAAATAAAAAAATCAACTGGGCATGGTAGCACACACCTGTAATTCCGGCTACTCAGAAGGCTGAAACAGAAGGATTGCCGGAGCCCAGCAGGTCGAGGCTGCAGTGGCCGAGAGCGGCCACTACAGGCCACTACACTCCAGTCTGGGCAATAAAGTGAGACTCCAACTCAAAAAAAAAAAAATAAGCCGGGCTCGGTGGCTCAGCCTGTAATCCCGCGCCTTGGGATGCTGAGGTGAGTGGATTGCCTGAGCCCACAGGTTCGAGACCCACCTGGGCAACTTGGTGAGACCTCATCTCCACAATAAATTTAAAAATTAGCTGGGTGCGGTAGCGCTCGCCTGTAGTTCCAGCTACTTGGAAGGCTGAGGCGGAAGGATCTCCGGAACCCAGCAGGTTGAGGCTGCGGTGGCTGAGAGCAGCCACTACGCTCCAATCTGGGCAATAGAGTGAGACTCCAACTCAAAAAAAAAAAAAATAGGCAGTCCTTTCTAGAATATTTGTTTGAAAACAGTTAACCCATGTTTTTGTTGTTGTTGCTGAGTTGGAGTCTTGCTTTGTCGCCAAGGCTGGAGTGCAGTGGTATACTCACGGCTACTCCAGCGTCTATCTGCTGGGCTCAGGCGATCCTTTTGCCTCAGCCTTCTAAGTAGCTGGAACGACAGGCACATACCACCACACCCGGCTGATTCTTTTGACTCATTGTAGAGGTCTTGCCGCGTTGCTCAGGCTGTTCTTGAACACGTAGGCTCAGGCAGTTCTCTCACCTCTGCCTCCCAAATGCTGGGATTACAAGTGTGAGCCACTGCACCCAGCTAACACATATTTCAACTGGGTCATTTCAATATTGACTTCTTAAAAATAAGATGTTCAGCTGCTTAACTTTATCAGCTTCTTCTTTCTTTTTTGAGTTGGAAGTCTCACTCTGTCGCCCAGGCTGGAGTGCAGTGGCATGCTCATGGCCACCACAGCCTTGACCTGGTGGGCTCAGGTGATCCTTCTGCATCAGCCTTCCAAGTATCTGGAACTACAGACACATGCCACTATGCCTGACTATTTTTTTATTTATTGTAGAGATGAGGTCTCGCCAAGTTGCCCAGGCTGGTCTTGAACCCACAGGCTTAGGCAGTCCTCTTGCCTCGGCCTCAAAAAGTGCTGGGATTATAGACGTGTGAGCCACAGCACCCAGCCTAGGATATTTCTTTAGATTGCCTAAGAGCTAAGATAGGAACAAGGGATAGAAAGTGAGAAAGAAAAACTTGGAAGACAACAGTCGAAGCCTCTTACCCCTACACCAAAATAAAACTTTTCAATGAGCTGTAAGTGAACCAGATTGCCAGAAGAGACTACATCTTCACTTCTACATTAATAAGGAAACAAGTGGCGAAAATTCACTGTGACCAACTCCACTAAATTACATCTCCGTGGTTAGCTGTTCCCTTGTGCACACACAGCCCACTGTGCCAGGAGCAGATCCCAGTGGATAGAAATCACCTTTCTGCATTGGCCTTCCCACCCCCACAGCCTGCTGTCCGTTTTCTAGCTCTCTCCTCCTCGGAAGTAAAGCGAGCCCATCCCAGCTCATCTGCTGATTCTGTCCCCTTTCCAAGTCCTACCTGTTGATGAAGTTACCCAGGTTGTTCAGTAGCTCAGAATTATTCTTGAGCAGCATGTCCATCCAGGAGAAGGCACTGTCCTGGCCCTCAGGCCGTATGTATAGCAGATAGAAGCGCCAGATGTCAGCAGGGATCCCAGTGTCCTGGGCCATGTCCCCAAACACTCCCACACCCCGGCTCTTAGAGAACTTTCCATCTTCGTAGTTCAGGTATTCTGGACAGAGGAAAGGGAATGAGAACCATCTGCTCAAATCCACCTTTCCCCTCTGACCCACTAACCGTTCTTTCTTCAACCTCAACCATGGCTGTCCAGCAGCTTTTCTCCCTGACTGGCTGGCATGCACAGAAGGTGGGAGTCCCTCCCCAACCATTCTGGCCTCTGTTCTCTTGACCCATACCTACACAGCGATTTAGCGCTGGACTTTTGCGTCCTTTCTCTCAGTTCAGTCTCGTGTCTTATTTATTGTGTCATCTCAACTCCTGACTTAAGCCATAACACCTCCACAGGATCTTCCTCCAAGTTCTGCCTCAACCCATATCTCTAGGAACCCCAGCTATAGTCTTCCGGGGTACCTGTAGCAATGAGGTGGCTGACTAAGGTGTAGTTGTCCTCAGCTCCCAGGACTGAACAAGGAAAAACTATGCCATGGAAGGGAACATTGTCTTTGGCCATGAACTGATACAGGTCCACCTAGGGGAATACAGTCAGGAGAGAGATTTCCTGAGACCATCTTCAAAGGCCCAAGAAAGACCAGACACCAACCTGAAGACCCCCACTCCCATGCACACCCTCCCCACAGACAGGCTAACCAACAAATGCTCACTTGCTCTGGGTTCTTCCACCATCTCTCCCACTGGTCTGTGTAGTTGGCTGTGATAGACAGGTAGCCAATAGTGGCATCAAACCAGACGTAAAATACCTGGGGAGTCAGGAGGAGGGAAACATGGTAGGGACCAACCAAAATCTCAGACTGAAAAATGATATAATGAATGGTTTAATCTGCTAGCCCAGGGACTCAACCCAAGGCTGAATAATTTGAGATATGAATAAAGGTTAAAGGGTTCTTACCTTGTCTTCAAAACCTTCTAAGGGTACAGGGGTTCCCCATTTGAGGTCTCGGGTTATGCAGCGTGGCTTGAGGCCATCCCGAAGCCAAGAACGCGTGATAAACCTGGCATTAGGTGTCCAGTCACTGCCAGGCAACGACTTCCCCAACCACTCCTCCACTCGCTTTTCCAGCTGAAATGGCAGAGAAAGACGGAAGGCTGACTCAGGACATCCTCATACATGGTTAGCTTAAGGGTAAATACATGTAAGCTTTTTGGAATACAGTTTGGACAATATATAATTAAAATGAAAAAAGTCATGACTTTGGCATGCCAATTCCACTTTAGGAATGTAGTCAACAGAACGATGAATACAAGCTGGGCATGGTGGCTCACACCTATAATCCCAAAACTTTGGGAGGCAGAGGCGAGAGGATTGCCTGAGTCCAGGGGTTCAACACAGCCTGGGCAACTTGGAGAGACCTTGTCCCTACAACAAATAAAAAAATTAAGCCGGGCTCAGTTGCTCAGCCTATAATCTCAGCACAGTGGGAGGCCGAGATGAGTGGATTGCTTGAGCCCGCGGGTTCGGGACCCATCTGGTCAACTTAGCGAGACCTCGTCTCTACAATAAATTAAAAAAAAATTAGCTGGGCGTGGTAGTGCACGCCTGTAGTTCCGGCTACTTGGAATGTTGAGGCGGAAGGATCGCCAGAGCCCAGCAGGGCGAGGCTGCAGTGGCTGGGAGCGTGCCACTGCACTCCAATCTGGGCGACGGAGTGAGACTCCAACTCAAAAAAAAAATAATAAATTAGCTGGGCATGGTGGTGCACGCCTGTGGTTCCAGCTACTTGGAAGGCTGAGGCAGAAGGATCACCTGAGCCCAGGAGGTCAAGGCTGCAGTAGCCATGAGCATGCCACTGCACTCCAGTCTGGGCAACAGAGTGAGACTCCTACACAGAAAAAAAAAAAAAGAAATATGCACACGAGAGCGTAAAGGTGTGTACATAAAGAAATGTAGCCGGGCTCGGTGGCTCAGCCTGTAATCCCGCACCTTTGGGAGGCTGAGGTGAGTGAACTGCCTGAGCCAGCGGGTTCGAGGCCTGCCTGGGCAACTTGGCGAGACCTCATCTCTACAATAAATAAAAAATCAGCCGGGCATGATAGCGCGCGCCTGTAATTCTGGCTACTTGGAAGGCTGAGGTGGAAGGATCGCTAGAGTCCAGCAGGTCGAGAATGTGGTGGCCGGAAGCGGCCACTGCACTCCAGTCTGGGTGACGGAGTGAAACTCCAACTAAAAAACAAAAAAAGAAATGTACTGCTCATGACAGCAAACAACTGAAACCAATTCCCATGGATCACATGAGTTTATAAAGTATGGTATATCAATACAATATTTACAAGGCTGTTAAGGAGAGTGAGGTAGACCTCTAAGTACTAATATGAAGAAAGCTCCAAGATACATTAAAGAAAACAAAACTGCAAAACAATGATATGATCCTATTATAAAAATGTTAAATAACACACATTAATATAAGATCCAAAAAATTTTGAAGGAGGCCAGGCTCGGTGATTCTGCCTGTAATTCCAGCACTCTAGGAGGCCGAAGCGAGTGGATTGCCTGAGTCCGCAGGTTCAAGACCATCCCAGGCAACTTGGCAAGACCTTGTCTCTACAATAAATTAAAAACTAGCCAGGTGTGGTAGCACATGTAGGTACTTCCGGCTACTCAGAAGGCTGAAGCGGAAGGATTGCTGGAACCCAGCAGGTCGACGCTGGGGTGGCCATACGCATGCATGCCACTACACTCCAGCCTGGGTAAAGGAATGAGACTCCAACTCAAAAAAAAATTTTTTTTTGAAGGAAAATATGCATTAGTGCTGAAAATATTCTCTCAAGTAATGTTATGGGAACTTCTACTTTTTATACTGCATGTTTCTATCTGAAAATTTTAAAAACAAGCTTTTATCACTTTTGTAAGCCGAAAAACAAAGATACATTTTTTTTTTTGGAGTTGTAGTCTCTGTCACACTCAGTCTGGAGTGCAGCGGCATACTCACGACCACCATAGCCTCGACCTGCTGGGCTTAGGCAATTCTTATGCCTCAGCCTTCCAAGTAGTTGGAATTACAGGTGTGGGCCACCACACCCAAATAATTTTTCTTTATTTATTGTAGATATGAGGTCTCTCCAAGTTGCCCAGACTGGTCTGGAAACCCTGGGCTCAGGTAATGCTCTATCCTCCGCCTCCCAAAGCACTGGGATTATAGCTGTGAACCACCACACCTGACTTTTTTTTCTTTTAAAGTGAACATAACCTCAAGCTTATTCTCTTCATAATTAAATAATATATGACACTTAGAACTGGATCCCTGAGCCCTTCCTCTTCTTATCTCCTCCCAGTTCAAAATGCTTACATCTCTTACTAGCCAGCATTCTCTTAAATCTTCAGTTGGGTTCAATGCACTCCAGCCTCAACATAGTCTTTTTTATAGCTTTAGCCTTTTTTCCAGAAAATTGGCTTAGTCTGTCCACCATAGCCAATTTGTTTCCTGTCATACGCCGCTTTCCAAGTGACATAGTACAGAGAATCCTTGCCCTTCTTGTACTGTGTCACTTGGTGGGGTTGGTGCTTGCCACACTTCTTTCTTTTTTATTTTTATTTTTTGAGTTGGAGTCTCACTCTGTCACCCAGACTGGAGTGCAGTGGCACGCTCCCAGCTACCCTGATGTCAACCTGCTGGGCTCCCGCGATCCTTCCACCTCAGCCTTCCTAGTAGCCGGAACTACAGGTGCGTGCTACCACGCCTGGCTAATTTTTGATTTATTGTAAAGATGAGGTCTCGTCAAGTTGCCCTGGTGGGTCTTGAATCTGTGGGCTCAGGCAGTCCACTCGCCTTGGCCTCCCAAAGTGCTGGGATGACAGGCTGAGCCACCAAGCCCAGCCTTGCGCGCCTGCTGTTCCAGCTACTTGGAAGGCTGAGGCAGAAGGATCGCCTGAGCCCAGCAGGTCAAGGCTGCGGTGGCCATGAGCATGCCCCTGCACTCCAGCCTGGGTGACAGAGTGAGACTCTGACTCAAAAAACAAAAGGGTGAAGAGAGGCTTTTTTGTGCAAGTGACCTTTCAGCTGAGATCTCAGAGATGAGTAAGAGTTATCTAAGACTGGAGAGAGTAGAGCAGGGAGGTGTTCCAGGCGAAGGAAATATACAAGGGATCAGAGATCACAATTCACTTTAAGAATGTGAGGAGAAGCCGGGCTCAGTGGCTCAGCCTGTAATCCCACGCCTTTGGGAGGCTGAGGTGAGTGGATTGCCTGAGCCCGCGGGTTCGAGACCCGCCTGGGCAGGCGAGACCTCAACTCTACAATAAATAAAAAAAAAATTAGCCGGGCGTGGTGGCGCGCGCCTGTAGTTCCAGCTACTTGGAAAGCAGAGGCGGAAGGATCGCCGGAGCCCAGCAGGCCGAGGCTGCGGTGGCCAGGAGCAGCCACTGCACTCCAGTCTGGGCGACAGAGTGAGACTCCGACTCAAAAAAAAAAAAAATTATTTCCAAATAAAGAGTTAAAAAAATGAGGCATATCCACTATTGTAAAAAATTGATCAAGACACATTAAAGCAAAAACATGGAATCAAATGTGCTGCTCATCAAAACTGAACTGGATTTTAAAAATGTGGTACATATACACAATAGAATATTATGTAGCCATAAAGAACAAAATTATGAACCTCACAGCAACTTGAATGGATTTAGAGTCTATCGTACTCAGCAATTTATCACAAAAACAAAGAACTGAGTACCACATATTCTCACTTGTAAGTGGACCCTGAACTTTTACCATAATACTTTAAGAAAGGGATTGATAGTAGCAAGATACTGCCGGGGTGGGGTGGGGGGGCACAACATCAATAAGGGTACCTGATCACAAACCAGGCAAAGTGGGAACCAAAGGGAGGCCCAAACTTTACCTGTACGATGCCCACTTGTATACCTAATACTGAATTGTACCCTATATCTTTAAAATAAAAAATAAAATGCCAGGCGCGGTGGTTCACACCTGAAAACTCAGTATTTTGGGAGGTGAAGATAAGAGGACTGCCTGAGCCCAGGAGCTCAAGACCAGCCTGGGCAACTTGGCAAGACCTCATCTCTACAACAGATAAAAAAATTAGCCAGGCATGGTGGCGCATGCCTATAATTCCAACTACTGGGAAGGCTGAGGTGGACAGATCACCTGAGCACAACAGGTCGAGGATGTGGTGGCCATGAGAGTGCCACTGCTCTCCAGCCTGGGCAACAGAGTAAGACTCCAACTCCCTAAATAAATAAATACATACATACATACAATAAAAAGACACATTACAAAGTAAAAGAAGGTTGGGCGTGGTGGCTCATGCCTATAATCCCCAGCTCCTTGGGACCCCAAGGTAGGACAATCACTTGAGCCCAGGAGTTCGAGACTAGCCTAGGCAACATAGTAAGACCTCATTTCTTCAAAAAAATAAAAAAATTAGATGGGCAAGGTAGTATGTGCCTGTAGTCCCAGCTGCTCAGGAGGCTAAGGCAGGATCACCTGAACCCAGGATGTCAAGGCTGCAGTGTATTATGATCATGCCACTGCATTTCCAGCCTGGGTTGACAAAGTGAGACTCTGTCTACAAAAGAAAAAATAGAGTAAAAGAAAAAGTAAGTTGCAGGAGTATGAATGTCATGATCTCATTTTGTAATTAAAAAAAAAAGGCTGGGTACAGTGGCTCAACCTGTAATCCCAGCACTTAGGGAGGCCGAGGCAAGTGGACTGCCTGAGCCTGAGGGTTCGAGACCAGCCTGGGCAACTTGGTGAGACCTCATCTCTACAACAAATCCAAATAAGCCAGGTGTGGTAGCATGCACCTGTAGTTCCAGTTCCAGCTACTTGGAAGGCTGAGGCAGAAGGATCGCCTGAGCCCAGTTAGGTCAAGGCTGCGGTGGCCATGAGCGTGCCACTGCACTCCAGCCTGGGCAACAGAGTGAGACTACATCTCAAAAAAAAAAAAAGAGGGAAAAACCCAGTGCTGGGAGCCTTCCTGTCTTGTAAATAAATTCCTGCTGACTAACAAAAAAAAAAAAGAGAGAGAGAGGCCAGGCGTGCTGGCTCACACATGTAATCCTAGCACTTTGAGAGGCTGAGGCAGGAGGATCTCTTCAGCCGACGAGTTCAAGACCAGCCTGGCCAACATAGTGAGACCTCATCTCTACAAAAATTGAAACATTAGCTGGGCGTGGTGGTGTGCACCTGTAGTCCCAGCTACTTGGAAGACTGAGGTGTAAGGATTGCCTGAGCCCAGGAGGTTGAGACCACTGTGAGCCACGATCATGTTTCTGCACTCCTGCCTGGGTGACAGAGTAAGATCCCAACTTAAAAAAACAATAATAGGCTAGGCGTGGTGGCTCACACGTATAATCCCAGCACTTTGTGGGGCCAAGGTGGAGGACTGCCTGAGTCCAGGGTTTCAAGACCAGCCTGGCCAACTTGCGAGACCTCATCTCTACAATAAATCAAAAAATTAGCCAGGTGTGCTAGTGCACTCCTATAATCACAGCTACCTGGAAGACTGAGGTGGAAGGATTGCCTGAGCCCAGCAGGTCAAGGCTGCGGTGGCCACGAGCGTGCCACTGCAATCCAGTCTGCACTTCAACTCAAAAAAATAAAAATTAAAAAATAAGAAAAATAAATTAATTTTTTCTTT